GAATTACCGGCGACTTGGTAGTAATTACCTTGAAAGCATCTTGTGAAATCTTGAATTCTCGATCAACATCGCCACTTCCCGGCCTTTCTAAGCCGAACAATTGTCCGTTCTCCTGTTTTGTTATCAAACTCGACTCTATAGAATTGTCATTTGCTTTCTCAACAAACGTATCATTAAGATCAATTTGTTTTACGGAATCGACAGCAAAGCCATTACTAAAACCAGATTCCTGAGTAGTATTTATCAAATAATTGTTCAAACTTTGTGACGATACCGATGAATTTATTCTTGAAATATCTTTACTATTAACAAAGTATGGTTTGATACGGACTCTTCGCCGTTGTCTGTCAAAATTAAAATCTGTTTGCGACTGGCTACGCGATATTTTAGCTTGATTCATATCTGGAGATATCAGGTAATAATCATTGTTTTGTTTAATATGTTTGTTATCGTATCTGTTTCTATATTGCTGATATTTTCCAGTTTTATTTTCATTTTCTGCATAAAAAGGTGACAATAACGCGTCATGAAGATTAAAATTAGCATTTTTATGATTTACATCGCGATTATTCCAAGAAAATCCAGCGGTTTCCATATTATCTATCGAGGGAGATAGTCGATGCCCATCTACGTTATCTGTCGATGACTCGAGAAAATTTTCGATTGATTGTCTATGCGTGTTTAAGGAATCAAAAACTCTACGAAATATTTGTTGATAAGTTAGCCTTTCATCCTTAGACATTGTATTATTTGAGTATGTCTCTTGAGCCTTCACGAACTGTGGCGATATTGGTTGATCTGAAAAAAGAGAAATTGCAGAAAGCGCAGTAGTCGTCGGATAATTCGCTGGCACCACGTGAACCAAATGCTTTTGACCTTTTTGATCGGTTCCTAGGATCAATCTCGGTGCCAATTGATTCACTTCTTCCGCTAGTTTTTTCACGGGTCTCGACCGAGATCGATGTCGAGGTCTCATATTCTCGAGTTCGTGCTTCCGCTCGGATGATTCCTCTTTCTCGATCTTCTCAATATTCACAGACTCTTGAACGATAGTGTGGTTATCCTCTTGTGGTACCGTGTCCTGATTGGCGCTCGAATCTCGTTCTGTTAACCGCCAGGAATTCATCGATCGATGATGGTGCTCGGAAAAACTGTTTTCAAGACCAGGCGGGAGATTTTTCGGATCACTGTCGTCCTGCGTTCTAATCGTCGAGATTGACGTAGATTCCTCCTGTGGTGTCACGTAAACGTAGTAATTCGGCCAGAGATTACTGGCGTGGAAATGATTGCTCGTTTGCGGCATTATTGTCAACTGGAGATCATGTCGCGTCGAGATGGAATTTGGCGGTTGCTTGATCCTCCGTAGAATCCACGTGAATACGGGATTCCTCTGAACTGCGCATGGTTCGCAGTCGACGCATCCATCCTGACATAGTATCCAGTGGCCATTCAGCAAATGATAAACGTTTCCACGCGATAGAATGACATTCTTGTCGTCGTCCGAGTAAGCGACCGGCCCGCCGTAGTAGGAAGCATCCAACGGACGCTTGTAGAGTGCATTGGTATCCAGTGGCGACGGGCTGACCGATTTGAGGATAATCTCGCGTAGCATGTATTCCCAGGGTGGCACGAGATGCCACGAAAGTGGCGGTATCACGGGATTGTACCGCTGTCCGAATGGAATACCGTGACCCAGAGTAAACAGAAGAAACTGAAAGGAGATTCAAGTTATGATCATCATAGATGTTTGCAAGGCGAATAATGAACATTTATAGCATGGTACATCAATATTCATTCAAGCTAAATCAAAACATTTTCCTTTGGGACTATGAAATTATTCAATCAACAGAATTAATCCTACTTTCGGTCAAAGCCGATTTTAGTGTTTAATAATACTAAATACAAACTTTTGCAAACATATTATACAATTTGTCGGACTTGAAACGCAATTGCAAACTAAAGCTGAAATTAATATTCCAAATTATGTTGATCGTCCATTAAATATGATGCTATAAGCATTTTAACAATCTGTAAATGATTTATTACACAAAAAAAGATATTACCTCAGCCAAGATTTAATTATTACGATAAACATTTTTACACGTATTGGTATGACGTATTTCATGGACGTCCGTCCAAGAAAGTCAGAAATTCCAGGTTTAAAGTTTAGTCTATAAAGTAAGGTTTAGCTAAAGTAATATTTTTTGCAATAACAAGTTGTTAAGATGCTTTTGCATATTTATGCCGAGACGAATTATTGTCACTACGACGATGAATTGTGTAGACTTGAGTAGAGTTAGTTCTAGTATAGTTCTTGTAATTATTTTCTTTACCAATATTAAATATATTTGTCATTTTCTTACTTTAAAAGAAAGTAGTCCTTGCTCTTTCGCCTTCCGATTCATTCCCGCTTTGAATAACCCATCCCCACTGCTCATGCGAGGCTAAGCAGTCGATTGTCGTCCGTCGCATTGAAGAAATATTGAAAATAATTAGTCGAAGTCTAGAGGAGTCATATAAAGAGCGACACGTTCGCTCGTATCTAACGCCCAATTTAAGTTGAGAGAGAATTTGCGGTAATTCAAGTAGCTACCGACTTCGAGTATCAGAGTAAAATCATTGGCTGTCGACTTGTGATAACAGAAAAACAACGAAGTTGTGCCATCGGTCGAAACTACGATCACAGATTTGGCTATTTAATGAACAATCAATATCTAATAATCTAATATTAATTTCAGCTTCAATTTGCGATTACATTTCAAATCCGACAAACTGTATTGGCGCGCAATTTATAAAATTAAAATAATACACTTGTAAAAATTTGCATTTAGTATTATTAAGTATTAAGATCTGCTTTAACCAAAAATAGGATTATTTTTATTAATTGATTTATTCTTATCAGACTAATTTCAATTTTAATAATAATTGTATATAAAATTATTATTTAATTCATTTTAAATGCATGTCTTGAAGTGTCTTTTGCATCAAAATGATCGTGGATTGCAATTGAATCGAATTCTGGAAATGGAGTCTCTCTCTCTTATGCTGAATATATATAAATAGAATATTGCAATTTATTGATTTATGTTTCTACCAATATAGATTAATTTTAATCTCGGTTTAATTTACTCTTTATCCTTTTTTTAATAAAATTAGAAAAAAGATAAAAAATAAATTAAACTACATTAAGTAAAGTTAATCTACATTGAAACGGACAATAGGCAGTTATATATAAAGGATGAAAGTCGAAATTAAATCTGCCGCGGACAGGCAAACGATAGAGAAACGTCAATATTTGAGAAGAATGTAACAGATTAATAATGTTGGATGTAAAATGATGTCTTAAAATTGGATCGTTCACACTCACCGTCATCACAGCGTACTTTTCCTTGGATGTATACATCATTTCAGAACTGCGATCGTTTTCGCACTGACGAGATGGTCGAAGAAATCGCGAAAGAAGACAGAAAGGAACTGTCACTCACCTGACAGATGAGCAAATCATAAGGATGACGTTACCGTTATGTTATTGAATACCGAGATGTCCAGCTAGATATTACCCATCAAGAATGTTGATATTATTCATGATTAAACATTTGTTAGGAGATCAAATAACGTAACTCAAACAGCACTAATGCTGGCTTTATCGTAAGTAATTCGAGAATACTGTATGCAGCTATATATGTAACGATTATTATATTGCTGAATCATTCGCGAAACGATACTTAAAATATATGGAATCGTTTTCATATTTCTCGAAAAAAAAAAAAAAAACGTGAAGAGAAAATAGATCTCTTTTTAGAAATACATTTTTTCGATTTATCCTGACTTATACGTTAGAAAAAAATCTAACTTAGTTATTTCAAGATTACTTTTATATAGCTGCTGCAGAAAAGCTCTTTGACAGATAGAGAGATATGTATTTATAGTCAAAAGTACAACGCTATTTAATTCTATTAGTTTTTGAATTTTTTGGATGTTTCGAATCTGATATGACTTATTCCCTCTATTATATTATAGTTCGTGTATAAATCGGTTAGAAAGTACGACAATTTTAATTTATTCCCGCGATACGGGAGGATTCATCATCGTCGCAGAATAGATGTATGAGCGTATAAATACACTATCGAGTTGACGTTGATCGTATCGGTCTAACGGAAACGTTCGAGAATATCATATCCGGGAGCTCGATAAAATATATACCTATATATGATTCGATGTAATCTCTGCGGTAGTGTAGCCTAGCTTGATTCTATTTCACGTTTTGGTCTATCGACCACGTGCAGTTAGATAAACCGAGCCTGTTTGTGGAGAAACGACGCGGTGAATTACTGTTTCATTAACCCATCGTATCGATATTTGATCAACAATGGAGATTATTGAAAAATATACCTAGATTGCATATTGTATTTTATTTATTATTCTACAATGTTTTTATTATATATAAAATATATGTTATTCGGAGAATTATTTGTTTGATAATGATGTTGTGCATACACAATTGAAATTATTATAAACGCACATTTAAAATATTTAAAAATGCATCAAAATTAATAATATGTATTAAATAACGCTGTTTGAATATTTATTCTTAAACTTTATTTTTAACAAGAGAGTTATACTTTTTAATTATGCATTAAACGTATTATTTTATTTGCATAAAAGATGCATAAAAGACGCGTAAAGGAATAATAAACAGATTCGTTGAGTCTTTAAAACTTTTAATGAATAAAAAGAAGTATGGGTAATACAAATATTTTCTATAAGGGCACGCTACTTGTCGATGATATTTGTGGCGCCAACTGTGAAGATACAGACATAACTTCACCTCCCTTAGTCTATCGGATAAGAGATGAATACAGGAACAAGAGCAACTAATTTTCAAAATTGACAATTCAATAAATATTTTTTACCATAACCGCGTTTGACAATCAAGAAGTTAAATGTAATTGATGTGATCCTCATGTAATTCCCAAAAAAAATCGGCACTCGCATTTAAAATGGCTGCGAAAACTGCCCAAATGCCAGAAGCATTTAATATGTCAACAGCAGCTAATAACAATGCCAGTCTGCAAATTTCTCTTCCTCAAATGCTCGATCTTGCTCTCGGAGCACCAGAAGTAAAATAATAGTAAAACTATTATCATTATCGTTTTGCAGATAAAGCGATTAATAAAATTATTGATTTCAGATTGGCGCGGTTAATTTTAATATTCTTCATCATTTTCTCCATATCTTGTTGCAACAAATAAATTTGCAGGCTGCCACAGTTGAATTTCATGGTGAAAACGCAGATCGTATTAAAGTAAGAAAAATAATACGTCGAGTAATTGAAAAAAGAAAAGTGGTAATTCTTTTCCTTATGTGAGAGCTATTGCAGAGGATGATAACATCTGCGACGACGAAACCAGAAGTAATACATCGAGTTCGAAGAGACGATGGTGAAGACGCTGATGTACTTACAGAAGGTACAATACTCATGATTCCTCTTTTGAATTCCTGTATTTATTTAATTAATTATAAATTATTAAAATGGATTGATTTGATTCAGATATTCAAGTGCCTACAGAAATAGTTTTTAAAGTGACGGAAGATGTAAAACCACAAATAGATTTTGAAGAAGTCCCTGAAGCTCAGATGGTTGTATCTGTCGTAAATAATTCTACTCTAACGGTATCACGGTTTAAAGAGCTCGAACAATCTGTATGTAGAACAAATCATTTTTAGAATTTATTATATACGATAGCAATATAATTCACTAATAATTTAATCAATAGGTAAAACAGTTGCAAGATCGGTATCAAGTTTTGGAAGACTTGTCTACGTCTCCGGAAATCGAACGTTTAAAAGATCGAATCGCAGATCCTGCCGCGGATATATGGCAATTTATTAACATCAATAAAAGATTGGACGCTAATGAACAAGGTATCGATAAGGTATACTGTTTGCTAATCTCGTAAACATCTCGCGTATGATATTTACATTTCTCTGTATCTCTAATAATTTAATAAAAATAAAAAAATAAAAAGTTAATCCTGAAAATATTAAAATAGTTAAACTTTATTTTAGTAATTTATTAAATTATTATTATAGCTTACAGCGATGGTAGATGTGATCAAAGGTGATACTGGCATAGTAACAGCAGATACATCTTTGATTAATACAAGATTGGATGAACTCGAAGATAAGGTCTTCAAGATGGAGCAATGGCTTACCAATTTGCAAGCAGTTATCGATATGTTAACCGAAGATGTAGCCGCGGCAACTGCTGATATAATAGCAAAAGAAAAAGAAGCAATAGAAGCAAAAGAAGAAGAAGAAAAAATAGAAGCAGAAGCAATAGAAATCAAAGATGTTGTGAAACCAGAAAATGAAAAAGAAGAAATTGGGGAAGAAGTACCTAAAATTCGTAGAGTAACACCTGAAAAGCTCGCTGTTCAAGTAGGACTTATGAGTAATAAGTTTAATGATTTTGTATAAAAATTAGTTTAATCTCAAAGGCATTGTTACTTAAGTCATTTATAAATCAATCCAGTCGTTATTTTTTTAACATATTAGAGAGCTTAGCTGATTAGAAAATACGTATATTTAGATGGTAATGCTATAGAAGAAATACGCCAAGATGTTACTGCATTAAAAACGGACATAGCTCATATACAACAGGAACTGCAAGATCTTAATGAAAGAGTTGCACGTATGTTGAAAATGTATATTCACATTTATTTTATTTTATTATATAATATTATATTTGAATATGAGAACTAAAATGTCAACAACGATTGTCGCTACGCCAGTAGTATCAGCGGCACAAGAAATTGTTAGAGAACCGATTAAAGATCAGCAACAAATAATCGAAGTTACTGATGTTACAAACATGGAGCAATGCTTGGAAGCTGTGAAAACTGTAGAAACAGTCCACGGCGAAGCCTTGAACGATGTTACCCAACGCATAATTGTATTGGAATCAGAATTTGGACATTTGTTAGAAAAACTAAATAGTATACAAGAGACTGAAAAGACAGATATCGCTGAGATTAACAATCTTATTACAAAAATGCAAAAAATTGAAACGGATATGGAGGACATTGGAGAAACAATGAGCAAATTATTCGAAGATAAAGAAAAAAAAGAAGCGGATATTAATGTACGAGCTTTTAATAATAACATAAGATTAATTAAAACATTCCTCATTTTTTTTTCGTTAAATAATATTCAAATCTGAGTTATATAAGAGCAGCTTGTTTTTTTCACTATTTATTTAAGCTGTCTTATTTATTATATTTATAATAATGTGAATTTTTTGACAGACATTACTGGAACAAATTGAAATTTTAAAAACCGTTAAAGCAAATAAAGAGGAGATCGAAGATGCTTTGGCTGACAAAGCGGATACTAAAACTGTGAATAGAAAGGTAAAAGGAATTGTTAAGTTTATTGACCTATTTATCTTATTGATACAGATTGAAATATTAGAAAAATTATTATAGGTATCGCACGATCAATTTGATGCTGCTTGCGATGATCTCGCTCGTGGTCTCGAGGAAGCAATCGACAAATTGACAAAGCAAGAATCGATTTGGCAACAAGCGCTCGATGAAGTGCAGAATGAAATTGCGACCAAGATGGATAAAGTCGAGATGACGTCACTGAAAGATTTTGTGGATGACAAATTAAAATCGCTTCAAGAAAAATTGAAGATTATGATTGAAGCAAGACGAGAAATAGAGGCTGCAGGAACGAAGAAGCTGCTTAAGTAAACATTTTAGGCTTGCAAATAACTTCAATGCGACTTGACTTCTTTTTTATCCAGAGATGTTCAATGTATATCGTGCGACAAGGATGTTGTAATGAAGACAGAAGAGGTCGATAGATTTCGACAAGAGCCATTTCCTTGCACTATCAGCATGAAACCCTATCTCACATATGAGTTGGATCAAGTTAGAAAACAACAGAAAAGATTGCCTTACAGCAGAAATCTGATCCAATTTGAGGCAGCAGTGCAAGAGGAGGCAAAGAAGATGAAAACAAAGGAGGAGACGCTTGCGAAGAGTCCCAGGTAACCAGTTTTACAATATTTTATACCATCTCGGAATCTCGAGAAAATATTACATTTTGAAAAACAAATATTACAAGCTGATATTGATTAATATTAATGAAGCATGAATCTTTTTTCAAAATTACAATTATAGACTTAACGCCTTCCAGAATTTTTAAACAGCTTAATGACAAATTATTATCTTAAGTTTGATAAGTCTGATGTATATTAGAGATCATCTCTGTAATCGATACTGCGGTGGGAGTCACACAGTCACGACTCCTCAGCAAAGAATCATGCGGTCGGGTCATTTTCTTTCTCAATGGGGACCCGAGACGATACAATTGACGGACGGTTTGATAAAAGGAAAAGACGGTCAAATGTATCGCAGTCGGCCCATATCGGGTAAAATGGATATTTGCGGTCCAAGTTGTTGGGAAGGTCAATTTATCGAGGAAACTGATCTCTCGGTGAATGTCAACTATTCATCATAAGTAATTCACATACTCATTTCATTGGCAAAGTATATTATTCACTCTCACAATTCTCTCAGGAATGTTCGATGTCCCATAAACCTGTTTCACTATTCCAACGAAATAGCGCTGGAAATCGTGAGTAAATAATACAATACATTATTTTTAAAGAGTTTACACAGATATTTGATGAAGGTTATTGTATAATTAAATTGAATTCAATATATTTGTTAAATATATTAAAAATGTAGAATTAAATATGCTACATACATTAAAAATTAAATATGTTTAAATACATTAAAATTAAATATATTTAAGTACATTATGTAATTATTACAATTATTATTGTTATTACGTGAACTGTACATTTTTTTTGCCGCGAATTACAGGAAAACGAAATTTAAGGAAAAAAGATCGATAATCGAAATATCAAACTCGAGAGAAAAATCAGTATATTATATGCATTTCGTTATTGAACGTTTAAAAAATTAAGAATTCAAGCTCTTCATGTAATTTTCAATATATATATATATATATGTGTGTGTGTGTGTGTGTGTGTGTGTGTGTGTGTGTGTGTGTGTGTGTGTGTGTGTGGTGTGTGTGTGTGTTGCAATATATTTAAATATATTACATGTTTGACACATAGACAGAAGCGGGTCAAGTGATATCTTCACAGAAAAATAACCGTCACTTCAGCTGAATCTGAAGATGAGACTACCATATATGAAACTAAGAAGATAAAGAAATAGAATAAATAAAGTAAAATATACGTAATACAAAGAAAATTTATACAATTCAATTTAATATTTTTATATCTTCTTCGATACACATTTTATATCTCCTTATATATAACCTTGTAAAATCTTTTGTATAAAATTTTTTTTCTTTCCTCCTGTGATTTTCTTGGATTATTAAAATAAAAAGATGACGAAACTCCAATTGAAATTATAATCAAACTGAAGTTATTAATTGTTTTATTATTAAGAGAAATTTCCAGAGTACACAAGACTACCTAGTGAAGTCGATTTGGAACATTGATGGTCTGCTTGCTAAAACAAAAATATTGGATCGCACTTCACGTTTACGCCCGAGACTGTATTAGAATATTGCACATCGCCATCTAAGATCCCTTTTTACGTAAAGGGCGTGCACAGCGCTTAAAATATTTTATTGAACTCATTCCGCTTTTGCTCGATCTTATTTTATGTATCCTACAAACGAGAGCTATGCGCGCTAGTATAATCATTTATAATAATATATATTTATATATTACGTAATCTAAATGCTACTTCATATAAATTTCAAGGTACAGGAAGTATCTACAAGTTAGTGTCTACCATACAATTTACGTACTGCCTTTCGATAAATAGTATTATTCTACGTGTACGGAATATAGAATTACTAAAGGTTACAGCTCTATGAATTCGCGATTAAATTAACGACGCACGAAAATTTCATTACCATATTCAATGTAATAAATATAATAGAAGAAATAAATATGTATAGATTATAGTGTCGATGATCGGGCTATAGAGATAATATAATGTCTTAAACATTAACATATATGGATATGCATTATCGATTACAGTTAATAATACTGGCAGCTTAAAATACGACGTATAAATTACACTCAACCTAATTAGATGCGAAAGTAGAGAGTGCCTCGCTCACAATTCAAGTATTTCAGCGATCGCGAATTTAAACAGCTTTAATAAGGGATGCCTTGCTTTGCGTATGCGAATTAAACAATTAAATCAAACGAGACCATCGGCTAATTTTTACAACATGCAACTGGCACTCGCTACTTCTCACCGTAGGTTTTCTACGTCACTACTTAATATTAAGCAAAACTTCTCTTGCTTATGCGGCCAACGAAAATTCGCTCACAACCTTTGCGAATCGAATTTCTAATTTGAAAAATTATTGTGACACCACGGACGTCTCATCATCGCGTCTAAGTGACGCGTCGTTGCTGATTCTACGTAATAATAATAGCAAGTTTAATTATTTTATTATCGCGCGCGCTCACGCGATAGCGCCGTTGCGCGCGCGGATAAGAGGAATTAAACAATAACAGATCACAGGTAAAACTAGGCTATCTCTGTAACAAATTAATATCACATGAAAAAATATGTATCGGTTGCATTCTATCGCAAAAATCTTTCGCGAGTGGACTCTCGGACGGATGACTCATATGACGAGCCATCGATGATTCAGACTGTCTGATCACTATCATCTTTTTCTACTTTCCTCACGTTTCCGATCACAATACCGTCGCTCGTTTTGCGAAAAAAACACTCATTATTTTCTTCGACTCGCAATTTCTTCGCCTCACCTAAGATTCATAACCGAGCCAACTGACTGTCATATGCTTGCTTAGTTCTAAGCCTACTTAATCACTTATCAACGATGAGACGGACAACTAAACCCTGACTAAATGATTAGAAGTAAAGTTTGGCATTTTATTCGCGCTTGCTGCGCGTATCCAGCTTATAGCTTCTGCTATGTTCCTTAACTGGATATTAGAATTAGTTTTACTTTGGCTTCAATGTCGAGCTATTTCTACGCAGCACATTATGTGAATCTAAATACGCGCATCGCACTTTTCCTTCTTATTTAAATTATATCGTTTCATAAAACAGCATTTCTGATCCCATTTGAAAGGTTTCTTTCATAGAATCCACATAGTCGGATTCGATTATGTCGATTCGAGGAACAATTGTCGGGAAAAACGTCTTCAAGAATGTTCTCGCGTATATTTCTGCTAGAATCATCGATCCCGAATTCATTATAGCCTTCATGAGAGTTATCAACGATCGCCACTACATCGAACGATAATTCGTATCTGTTTTAAGTAATTTCGTTCCCCAGACTCTTACAATTTCTAATACCGCAATTTCTGATACGTTTCTTCATCGTGCCGCGATGCATGCGTTTGCCTATGAGGTAGGTTTGCGCGATGTTTTTGAGGAAGACGAAGCATGTAGGACACCGATCTTTACGCTTTCGAGTCCGAGAGGCAAAGGAGGAGGAAAACATCCACTCCTACTGACTCTAATTTTATTGTGCAATAAAAACTTGGACTATAAACTTGAACTAGACATGCGAAAGTAAAGTGTTGTCAAAAAGATGACGTTTGTGAGCAAGTATCCTCACTTGGAGCGACCTGAGATTCCTCATACATAGTTTAACACCGGTCTCTCAACAAATTGCACGGACCTGGACGTTCTCGTCTGATCGATCGCACTGTATATTCGTTGAGCAGCTTCGCTCAATATCAACGTTTATACTTTTGTACTGTACTTCCCCTAACATTTCGCGACGAAGCGATATTCCCCGTCAATGCTATTATTGTCCATTATCTCTGACGCTCTTCGTGCTGAACGGTTCATTCAATCAGAATGCGAATTGATACGGAGGATCTCATGGGTCAACCACGTCTCACGGACTCTCGGAAGACTCCCTTGTTTGAGAATAATATTTCCTACATCTCGTTCGCTATATCAAGCTTACCGTTCATTCGCAATCGCGCGCTTCGGCACTCGTCGGGAAAAAAAGAAAACAGATTATCAAAATCCCAGCGCCTTAAATGGCGCTACGATAGATGCGCTACAAAAGCTGAACTATAACCGGATGCAGGAGACACATGTGCTCGGCACCGCGTATCGGAAGACGATTCACGCTGAAATGACGGACCATTTCCGGTATGTTTTCGAACGGTTTGCTAAACTGCCCCAGAATGTATGCGTTCAGCTCTTCGTTCTTCTGGATGCGCATGTGCATGAAACCACGGGCGCTCCTAAAACAGTTAGAACGGCGTAATTACGTGAGTTATAACACTCAGAAGAATCCGTAATGTTCAATAAATATTTGTTCAAATTATCGAATAAGCGAACAAATATTTATTTAAGTATTACTTACTTCAGGGATAGAGAATAGTCTTGTTTGGTCGACTCGCTGTTCCTCACCAGATAGCTTCCTTCTTGATGAACTCGTAGAAGACCCTCTGCTTCGATGCGTGTGATAGAGCCGTGATACCATCTAAATAAAAGATCTCTCTTCAAATAATGCGCATTAATCCGCGAAGTTTTAGTATTGCACGAAAATAACGGTTAAAATATAAAGAATTTAGACATTTATAGATACAGATTTGAAAATACAATAGTTTTTTCGAGCATTAAAATAATTATAACATTGGTTGCTAGAATGTCAAAACTTTTCAAAAATTTTTTTACAGCATTGCTCATATCATGTTTGTTTCTGTATAATTATTTTGATGGATTAACAAAATTTTCAGATCTGCATCTAATAAAAATTTTTAATACTTCAGCAAAATCGTTTTTTCTGTGTGCGGAAAACATTGCGAAAAGTACTTATGCAAAATTAAAAGATAAAAAAGTGCAAGCGCACAAATGAAAATAACTTTAAAAATGTTAACAAACTCATTAGTGGTATTCAAGTCGTTAAATTTTCACATCGTCCGTACATTAACGGTAATACCATGTCCACTAAAACTCATGTAAAAATAAAGTATTTCAAAATAAAAGCCGACAAAACACTCACCCTTGTCTCTCCAATGGAAGCTCCACGTCAACCAGATCAGCTGATATTCGAGCGGTGCTGATTTCCAGCGGTAAACCGAGGTTTAGGCCACTAGGTTTTTTCAGCACCAATTGACCGCCCAAATTCGCACTCGTTCCCGCTGCAATATTACTGGCATCCAGATTCAGAGTCATCTTCGGACGCGCCAGACCGCCGCCTGAAATGAGTCACCCGACAGTTAGACGCATCGTGGAGCTCTCGCCAGTAAACATCGATGATATACCGATCGTACGGAATTGTAGGCGATCTATCGTCGTAAACTCTTTACGATTCCTTAATAATTGCCACAAATCAGAACTTGGATACGTCGGAATTTATTCAAACAACCGATTAAGTTGCATCCACAAAAAGTTGTTACTGAATTATCAATATTATTTTGTATTCATTATTCTTAACTTTTGTAAATGATTCTTCGCTTAAGACTGATAATTGATGAAACAGATAAGAACGTTAATTGAATATTAAATAATTATATCAATAATATATGAATACAATAATATATGAATAATGATGAATATAAATAAAAAAATGTTTTTAGTATTATTAAAATATTATTGGTATTATTAAATGTTTGATATTAAAATAATATTGTGACAAATCATTATTAAATAATAAAATTAATATAACATAAAATTAAATATAATATTTAAAGCGAAACAGTAATATGACTTGTAAATTCGATTAAAAGACATAAGACACTGCTTTCTAAAAAAAAATCTTTTTTTTTTTTTTTAAGATGACAGACCACTCTATCAAGAACAATTTGTTCATACCTAACTTTTTATGATTACGTGACTTTTTGCCTTGTCAGTATCAGGGTCGAGGTTTCCTCGCGAACGATAATGATCGAGGAACGACACTCCGTATCAAAGAAACGCCCCTGAATATAGTAGGACGCTAATTTCATTTGTTGGCGCAATCTCTTAGCGGTTGACTTCTCGGACGTGGTACATGACACAGGTAAAACAAAATTGCTCTGACAGGTGTAACGTCGAGTTAGCCTCTTTTACGGCTTAATGTGTCCGAAGAGCACGTCGGAGTGCTTTCGTCTGGGTACGCATACATTTGCAGATATTTACGACGTCTCGGGAAAAAAAAAAAACAGATAGATAAGCAAAGTATCTACGGAATTTTATCACAGACATAAAAAATTTTAACAAATTGAGAAAAATAAAATATTTAATTTTAATCCTTTAGTATCACTGATATGGCATATCCCTCGATTGTTTCTTTTAGTGTTTTCTTTTACTGTTTTCTTTTCTTGCTTTCCAAACTTTTTCATGTTATAATTTTTTATTAATAAAAATATATTTGTCATCGTTTGGATGAAAAATATTATATATTCATGTGTTGTGATTTTACACAATAATTATTGTATTGTATGAGAATTGACAAAACATATAACGTAGCATCGAAGAATTAAAAAATGCGAGATTGTTATTTTTGTAAAAATTTAATTAAAATTTTAATATAATAATATATCTAATAATTACTTTATCTGTTACAACTTATTATAATTATTTTATTTTCGTAAGAATTTAATTTAAATATCTTATAATGCAATAACATATCTAATATCTGTATAATCTATAATAAAGTTTTTTCTTAATGTACGACAAATAATTATATTTGGCAAACTTTCGCTGGAAGAAATCGGTTTGAATTTTGTCGTATAATTTGTGGTGGAAATGACAATCAGTTCTAAAACGCACCTCTTCTACACGCACATCAAATTACGGTAAAAGAAAAAACCGAAAGATGGTGCGAGTATATCTCTCTCACGCACCATTTCTATTCAATTCCTCTTTGCGAAATACACGTTTCGGAAATGGTTAAACATTAACCGCGCCGCATGGCTAACGCTACTCGACGAGATTGCGTGCGTCTGTATTATTAAATTCAATCTGGCGATCGGCCCAGTAGATTTATCTGCTTGATTTTCCTCTTCCTCTTCCAGCGACGGTGTAAACGTCGTTTTTTCTCGTTTCTGTCTTTGCTGGAATTTTCTTCCCAAGACCAAACTTGTCTTTTGTACAGCATCTACCCTATGAGTAATCTCTTGTCCTGACACTCGTATCCTTATTCCCTGCTTCCTCCTTCTTCTCAGACTGTTTTAATATCCGTCTCTGACGGAGATACGTCTCAATCAATTTCTTCGCGGGCTTTCCGACCGCACGCTCCCACGGGAAATGGGAAGAAGCCGTCGAGATGTTCGGTACCGGATCGTATACAGGAACGTCAAGGACACGAGTAAACTCCGTCGGTGATCATCATATACGAGTTCGTAGCGTGCTTGCTTTAAGATCACCCGAAGTTTCGTCGAGTGATGTTTTGCGACGTCATATGGGAAAAAGGGAACGTGATTGCGCACGGCGTTAGAAAGTCAGAGAGAAGAGGAATAGCTAGGAAGGGCGGAAAATATTCGTTCGACGAGAGACACGCGAGACACGTCGCCGCAGATGTCTCCAGGGAAATTCCTGGTCACGAATGAAACTCGGAGACGGGGGTGTACATAGAAAATCTCGCAGGCGTTTGCCGTCAGGAAGCTACACGCCATATCACGGACGGCGAACGGAAATTTTAATTCCCCGCGAAAATCAGGACATATTGCGTATCGTCAGAGACTGAGACTCGTCGGAATAATGCCAGCGGAGGAACAGAGCAACCTCGCGCCAGCGATCTGTATTTATTGCCGAGTGAAGAAGATCGAGGGTGGAACCCGCCGCAGAGATTTACGACGCTAGCGAATTTACTGCCTTGGGAAGCCGACACGTCAAACACGCTCGAGAAAGGAGTCAATGGCGATTCCATTGAGTGGCAAGACGCTATTAAAAAAGAGATGACACCTTATAATGGCGCAGTCATCCTACACATGTAGATGGAAAGTTTGTCATTTTACGTAGAGTAAAACTTTGAATTGTAAACGCGCCGAACGAAATCGCTTGAAGTGAAATGAATATCCAACGGAATTGTTGAATCACATTTGCATTATGATTCACAACCGTCGTTCATTCGACAAATGTGAAAATAGTCGCGTTGAAACTTTGGTTTTAAAAATTCTCGCGCATAAAATAACTATAAATGGAGGAGAAAATCTCGGAAGCTGCCAGTCATGATGAGTTTGCAATCTCGACGGCTCGCCACGAATGCGTCTTTAGCTGGAATTGCATCGTTACAAAGCTCTACTCTCCCTCGAAGATATTTCGCAATAGCGCCGAAATGCCCGAACAACAGATGCGAGACGCCATTGCCCTGGATAGGCCTTGGAGATCTCTTCGCCAACAGATGTTGCAGTTACACGCCCTTGAGCTCTTCTATCCCTTCGTCGACGGGCCCTTATCGACGCGATGGCAAACACTTCGAACCTGCTCGGAATAGTTGATACGTCCGCGATCCTCATGAAATATGAAGTACGATAGGCACATGTCAGACGTTTCTATCGTATTCGAATGATACTTGTTCAATTTGTCCAAGGATCATCGATACCTCGGTCTACGCCACTGACTGTGAGTACATTTATTATTTACAAAATACTCACTCTGGGACTTTCATTTTTTATTGATTAATACCAGAAAAATTCAAGTTGCTAACAGTGAGTTGCTTCATATATTTTTGATAGAATCGTTCACAAAATATTTAATATTAATATTTAAAAAATATATATTTTTCTAATAAAAAATTTGTAACTAAGGTAATAATTTATTAGTCCGATTTGCATTATGGTAAGTATTATATTTTATTAACAAAGTAACATATTACTTTAAATGAAAGTTTCTATCAAGAATCAAGTGTGCGCATATCACAATGAAATATCAACTCTTTGAAGTAACAAAATCGGAAATTATTAAGATCCTCAAGTCTGGCGGATAACGACATTACATAGTTAGTTATTGGCTAGTCCTTTGATATCTGATCATATCTTTCCCCTTGTCTGCTGGCGGCGACATATTACATGCTTAAAGATGATTCTATGGATGTCGATATTGTCATTTTAAAAAGGAACTGGTAGAATAATTATAAAAACAATTAAATGCGAAAAGAAGAGAGAAAATGGTACAAAGATACTTTAATTCTTGTCAATTAATTCTTCATCGATAATATTAGACTTTAAAAATATAGCCGATTTTTTAAATTGTAAATTCTGGTAGATTTAAATCTATAAAAAAATAAGTGAAATACAATCCAATTTTTATAATAAAAATTTATTGTTAAAATTTTTCTAGAATGTAAGAATTTGACAAATTTTTATACAGCTTAAAACAATATAAAAATTTGCACTGAAGTTCGAAGATCCACAGACAAAGAATTTCATATTGTCGAAAGACTTAAAATAACTTAAAATAACAAATTAATTGCAGACGAAAAGATCAATGAATTCTTAAGATTGACAAGAGAAAGAGAGAGAGAGAGAGAGAGAGAGAGAGAGAGAGAGAGAGAGAGAGAGAGAGAGCGTTAGTAATATAATTTTTTAAATAGCAATGAAACTTACTTAAAAATTTATTTAAAAAGTAAACATAAGATTGTAAAATAAATAAAATCTATACGCAAGTAGATTAACTTAATTATCTTGGTTTTCGTGTGTTTTGCCAAGCATAATCATCAAAACACGTTAATTCTAATCTGGCGACAGAACTCGCCAGTAGAAATCCCCGAGTATAGTCAGCCGAATGGCGATTCGCGTCATGGTGGCGTTTTGGATCGGTACCAAATGGATAACAGTCGTGACTTGTGACATCAGGCAAACAGTACGTGACTAGATTCTTGAACCAGTAAAATTGCGTTTATCCGTAGCCGTAGGACATCATCATATGAAGTTTAGTGCATACAATAAGCGTTGTTTGTGTTCGTGCAAAATCCACTCTCTGAGCAAAGAATTTGAAAACAGAGTGCACGCAATTTGCCAGCTCTTTTAAAATTCATAAGCCGTAAAAATTCGTCAAGTACATAGACGGTCGTTAAAAATCTGCATTCGCAGGAAACCATGAAAATTAGAGCTCGTTGGGCTGCCACGACGTGGATTTAATTTCACTTCGTAACAAGCGTTATACGCTGTGATAGAAAAAAATTGTATCTAGTTATTAAATTTAATTATGTACAAATATAATATTCGCGTAATGTCCTTATTGTCTAACGAACTACGTAAATAATCATGTTATT